TAATATCATTACTCACCTCAATCCTGCCCGAAATCTAGCTTGCAATGCCTTTGCCCTTCGAATCGATCTCCGGATGCTCCGAATCTACCAAAATCAGAACGTAATCATTAATTTATGCTAAAGGGACGAAGCCCACTCGAAAATAATCAAAAAATATCAAAAAATCCAAAATTACCAAAACCCGACCCCCCGGCCCACGTCTCGGAATTCGATAAAATTAACATCATTAGATTCCTTATCTCCCCACGAGTTCATACATATAAAAAAGTTACAAAATCCCACCACAAATGGTCTTCCAAAACCTCAATCAAAGGCCTAGGTTTCTAAGACCTAGTTCCTCAATTTTACCTTTAATTACAGCTCTAATCCATGCATTAACACTATAGCAACGATTTTTTAAGTCCAAAATTCTTACCTCAATGAGTTCTACTTGAATTCTCTCTTCAAAATCGCCCAAAGCTCCAAAACTCGGGTTAAAAATTGAGAAAACCTTCTCAAAATAGCGGAGGAACTAACTTATATTTTCTGTCCAGACATTTCCTCATCTGCGGTCTAATTTTCGCTTCTGCGGTACCGCATTTGCGGCCAATGAACTGCTTCTGCGTTTCTTCACTTAACTCCGCATTTCCGCATCTGCGGTTCCATATCCGCACCTGCGCCATCGCAGGTGCGGTCGCTCCAATCGCATCTGCAGTTTTCTGTCTCCCTAGCTCCCTTCCGCTTCTGCGGCTCCTCTCTCGCATATGCAGAGCCGCACCTGCGGTCCCCAATCCGCAGGTGCGGAAATACCAGAAGCAGCAAAAATCTGCGACTTCTCAAAATCTCAAACTCTTCCGTCAACCATTCGAAATCACCCCGAGGCCTCCGGGACCTCAACCAAAAGCACAAACATATCCCGTAACCTTATTCAAACTTGTACCAATATTCAAAACACCTCAAACAACATCAAAATGACATAAACACATCGAATTCAAGTCTAAGGTTCTAAAATCTTCCGCATTTTGCTTTTGATAAAAAACCCAACCAAACCACTGACCCAACGGAACTACTGCAACTTTCGAAATTCCATTCTGACCCCTATATCAAAATCTCACCTATCAACCAGAAACCGCCAAAATCTCAATTTCGCCAATTCAAGCCTAAACTTTCCACGGACTTCCAAAAATGCATTCCAATCACGCTCCTAAGTCCCAAAATCACCTAACGGAGCTAACCAAATCATAAAAATTCTGATCCGAGATCATATACCAACAAGTCAAAACTTGGTCAAACCTTTCAAATTTCGAGCTTCAAGCTGAGAACTGTTCTTTCGAATTCATTCCGATTACCCTGAAACCAAAACCAACGATTTACATAAGTCATAATGCGTAATACGGGGCTAGACATGCCCGAGAGTGCAAAAGCTCAAAATGACCGGTCGGGTCGTTACAAAAAGAGTAAACAATATATACATTATAGATCTGTCCACTCTTTCAGAAAATGAACTCACTTGCTTATGCGTGTTGGACAATGATCCCCTCCTTTGGCACAAGAGACTTGGACATGCATGTCTAAGTCAACTCACAAATTAGTCTCCAAGGACCTGGTGATAGGGCTGCCCAACATCAAGTTTAAGGAAGACAAAGTTTGTGAGGCTTGTGCAAGGGGAAGCAGGTAAGGTCCTCCTTTAAATGCAAGAAAGTGGTAAGAACGACCAGACGATGGAACAGTCCATATGGATCTCTGTGGTCCAATGAGAACATTAAGCAGAGGCGGTAAAAAATGTGTGATGGTGCTTGTTGATGATTACTCTAAATTTACTTGGACATTGTTTTTAACATCTAAAGATGAAGCATTTGACATGTTTACTTCTTTTGTTAGAAAAATTCAGAAACAACTAGGTAATCAACTTGCATCAATTAGGTCTGATCATGGAACTGAATTTGAAAATGCTAAGTTTGCTGAATTTTGTGATGAGCATGGCATAGATCATAATTTTTTTGCCCCTAGGACTCCACAACAAAATGGAGTAGTTGAAAGAAAAAATAGGACACTTGAAGATATGTCTAAGACTATGCTTCTTTATAGTAAACTGCCCCATAGCTTCTGGGCAGAAGCTGTAAACACTGCATGTTACATCATTAATAGGTGCATGACTAGACCTCTTGTAGAGAAGACTCCCTATGAGTTACTTAAAGGGAGAAAGCCAAATATATTCTATCTTAGGGCAATTGGATGCAAGTGCTTCGTGCACAACAATGGAAAGGACTCCCTAGGTAAGTTTGATCCCAGAAGTGATGAGGGAGTATTCTTGGGATATTCTTCACATAGCAAAGCTTATAAAGTGTACAAAAAGAGAACTATCTGTGTAGAAGAAAGTGTACATGTGGTTTTTGATGAGACTAACATTCTTACTGAGAGACAGGAATATGAAGATGAAGCTATTGGGATGGTAAAAAGTTTAAATGAAATCTCAGGCCAAGCTGAAGCTGCACCAGAAGAATGAACAGGTGATGGAACAGGTTCTTCCATCCAGGGCAACCTGACAGGGGGAACTGAACTAAGAGGAACTGAATCTAGTTACCAATGGAACCTGTCCATGAGCCTGTTCCTCATTAACAAAACATGGGAGAAACATCAAGCAGAAAGCAGTTGGTTGTGAAACCTTACAAGTATCAAAGTGAGTCCCAATGAGAACATAATTACTGATCCAACTTCTGGAATTAAAACTAGATCTTCATTAAAGAATCTTTGTGCTTTTGATGCTTTCCTATCTCTTATTGAACCTAAAAATGTTACTGAGGCTTTGCAGGATGCAGACTGGGTAAATGCAATGCAAGATGAACTCAATCAGTTATAAAGGAGTCAAGTTTGGCATCTGGTTCCATGACCCAAGGACAGATCAGTAATTGGCACTAAATGGGTCTTCAGAAACAAACTTGATGAAGATGGAACTGTTACAAGGAACAAGACAAGGTTGGTGGTTCAAGGTTATAGCCGAGAGGAGGGCATAGATAATGAGACCTTTGCTCCAGTTGCAAGGTTGGAAGCAATAAGACTCCTCATAGCCTTTGCTGCATACATGGAATTTACTCTTCACCAGATGGACGTCAAGAGTGCCTTCCTCAATGGCTACTATAAAGAAGAAGTGTTTGTCGAGCAACCTCCAGGATTTGAAAGCAAGGAGTATCCTGATCATGTATACAGACTTGACAAGGCACTCTATGGACTCAAGCAGGCTCCTAGAACATGGTACGAATGACTATCAAAATTTCTGCTTGAACATAGCTACAAGAGAGGTAAAATTGATAACACTCTATTCTTGAGGGAAAAAGGTAAAGATCTTCTAGTAGTACAAATATATGTTGATGACATAATTTTTGGAGCAACCAATGAAAAACTAAGTAAGGAATTTGCTAGACTAATGGGGAGTGAATTTGAATGATTATGATGGGTGAGCTTAATTTCTTTTTAGGCCTACAAATTAAACAAAACTCAAATGGAACCATGATCCATCAACAGAAATATGTAAAGAGTTGCTCAAGAAGTTTAAAATGGACAAATCAAAGGAAATAGATACTCCTATTGCAACAGCCACAAAATTGGACATAGATGAACCTGGTTCATATGTTGATCAGAAGTTGTATAGGGGTATGATTGGTTGACTTTTGTATCTTACTGCTAGCAGACCTGACATTGTTTTCAGTGTAGGGCTTTGTGCTCGATTTCAAGAAAATCCAAAGGAATCCCACTTGACCACTGTCAAGAGAATATTGTGATACTTGAAAGGAACTATTGACCTTTGCCTTTGGTATCCAAAAGGTAGTAACTTTAACCTAGTGGGATATGCTGACGCTGAATATGCAGGTTTCCTTGTGGACAGGAAGAGCACCTCAGGTATGGCACACTTTCTTGGTTCATGTATTGTGTCATGGGCTACTAAAAAAAAATTCACTGGCCTTATCTACTGATGAAGCTGAGTATGTTGCTGCTGCTTCTTGTTGTTCTTAATTGTTGTGGATCAAACAACAGTTAATGGATTTTGGTATTGATGTTGGTTGCATCCCTATTTTTTGTGGTAACACTAGTGCTATTAGTATGACAAAGAACCCAGTTCATCATAAGAGAACTAAGCACATAGATGTTAGACACCATTTTTTAAGGGACAACTACGAGAAATGATTGGTCACTATAGAATTTTGTGCTAATGATAAGCAGATTGCTGACATCTTTACAAAAGTACTGAATAGAGAAAGCTTTGAAAGGAATAGGTTAGAATTAGGGATGATTAAGATCACCTAATGGAACCAGTTCAGAATGCACAATGAAAAAAATAAAATTTTGGTTAGGAAATCTGGAACTTGTGTAAATACCTAGATTAATCTTTGCTCAGTCTCATACTGTAAATAGTATACTCCTGTGCCATGTGTTAATATGACTCACTGATCTCTAACAAAAGTTTTCTCTATTTTGGCAAATTGAGGCATGATCAAGAGGATTCTCAGTAAAGAACCTGGTTCATCAGTACTGGTTCATCTGAATAACAAGGTATATTTTTTACACTCTGCACAATTAGAAATATTAATATTTAATTCATGAGCAGAGTCCTACCTATGTTCCCAAACTTCAAAAAGCTTATTCTTTAAAGTTTGAACCAGTTCCGTTTCAACTATACTCCTCACCGTATCAAAATGCCTAGATTCCAGGGAAGCTTAACCGCCTGTTCAACCTGCAATTTCAAGGTGATTAGACTTCTATTTGACTACTAAAAGCTGCCGTTGTGTATTAATTATCCTCTCCCTTTAAATCCATCATCATTACCACTGCCACTCTCCCATAATTTTCAAAAACCGTCACAATTTTCTGTCTTCTCTTCTTTTCTCTTCCAAAATTCAAACCTTCCATTTTTTATTTACAAAGAATGACAAAACCCTCAAGATAACCCAGGCACACCTCCTCCACCTACTCCCTCCGATTCCTCCACTACTCCTCAACCCAGCACTACCCCTCAACCTAGAAGAATGCGAGTAAAGATGCTTGCTCGCAAAACTGTGGCTACAGGTGCGCTTTCAAGTAAATTAAACGCACAGTTAAAAGCTAGTCAAGGCAAAGATTCCAAAAATTCTGATGATTCTTTCAAGTCTGTGAGTGAGAGGGAAGGAACTGGGTCTTCTGATTCTGAGCAGGCAACATCTGTGCAAAATCCTTCTACTGAGGTAATTTCTGATCTAACTGAAAATTTGGAAAATCGATTTGTTTTGCTTGGGTCTGTTGTGGATGTGGAAACGACTGAGTTAAGAAGGAGAGGAGGTGAAAATGAAAGAGAAAAAGAAACAGAGAGTGAGGGTGTGCGTAATGATGAGAAGGGAAAAGGGAAAGAAGTGGCTGATTCCTCACCCACCTCTGAAACGGTTAAAATGGCTATCTGTGGGGCTGAGCCAGAAAAGGTGGTAGAGAGTAGCAAGAAAACAGGGGGAAGTGGTTCAGGGGAGGCTGCTGAAGGACTAGTAAATCTTAGAAAGCATACAGATGAACCTGGTTCATCTATTGAAGAGACCCTAGCAGATCTTCTGAAGAAGGTTGGTGCCAGCTATAAACCCAAGAAAAGGAGAACTCCAACACGAAAGACTCCTGGCACTGCAAGAACCAACAAGAAAAGGACTGTTTCTCCTGAAACTACTGATATTCCTTTACCAAAAGGAAGGGCCACAAGGAGTAAGTTGAAGCAAAGTGAGGAGGCGTTGCAGAAAGCTTTGGAAGAAAGTAAGAAGAAAAGAATAGACAAAGGGAAAGCAAAGGTGTCAGAGCTTGTTGAGGCTAGTGATGTGGATAAGATGGACCGGGTCCATCAAGGTGAACATATGACTGTGGAGATGGAGGTTCAGACCCCTAAGCCCAAGAAAGCCAAGACTTCCTCAAAGAAATCTTCATCTGTATCCAAGTCTGCTGAACCATCTACTTTGGCTAAACGGACAAGGTCTGGTGTGAAAGCCAAACAAGTTAAAATTACTGAATAAGAAGATTGGAGTGGTGAAGAAGAGGATGAATCAGATAATGAACAGGACAAGCTGGGCTAGTTTGGCAAACGAACCATCTTGAAGGGTAGACCCTTGAAGGACTTGGAGGAAAGGCTAGAGGTTCAGGGGTGGAAGGACATGGTCCTTCAGTTAGATGGCAGGCTGGCCAGAAATGAGATAATTGAATTCATGGCAAATGCAGAGGTCAAGGATGGAAGAGTCACCAGCCTGGTGAAAGGGGTTTAATTGTCTTTTGATGCAAAAGAGCTGGGTGAAATCCATGGTATACCTTCTGAAGGTTATGATGATCACACAAGACAAAAATGGCCAAGTCTGGACTCCCTTCCTACTGCCCTAGCCATTACTAGAAAATTCTATGATAGCAAAGAAGTGAATGAGGCTAAGGTTGTGTATAAAAGTGAAATGAAGCCATCCCACAAGGTGTTGTTTGAATTCGTCTATAAGTCTGTGCTGCCTAGGCAGGAAAGAAGGCACATTGCCAACTACATGGACTTGGTTTTGATGGAATGTCTGGATAGTGGGCGGTAGATCAACTGGCCTGGGTTTATGATCAAGCTTCTTGATCGGGTTATCAGTGGCTCCAAGGCCCATGCCACTCCTTATGGTTTCATTCTCACTACTTTTCTTGCTCATTGTAAGGTGCCTCTGAAGAAGTGGGAGACGGCCACAAGCAAAGACCACTTTGGAATCAATACTTTGCTCGCTTGTGACTATGAGATTACTGCCACTCCCAATGAACCTGGTTCATCCAAAAATACACTTGTCAATAGCAAGGTCAAAGCTCTATTGCAGGAGAGTGGGGCAAATGATGCTGAGATAGCAACGCTGAAGGCTCGTTTGGCAGAGGTAGAATCTGAGAGAGATGCTCTCAGAACTGAGCTCACAAAGGAAAAGGAGAAGAATGAGGGAATTCTTCAAGACATGCTACACCTTGTCCAAGCCAAAACCCAAAACCCAGTTCTTCCAAGCCTTGATTTCCTAATCCTGAACCTTGCCTAGACCTTTCAGTGACCTAGATTAGGGATTTTTTTTCTTTTTTGCTCATGTTTTAACTGTTTTTGTTTCTTTTTGTGTATTGTGGTGGAATCATATTCTCTATCAATGAAGTTTGCTGCTTTTGCTCTTGCTGACTGTTTATCTTTCCTTGATAGTTTGAATATGTGTAGTTGATTACTAATGATTAATCCATGCATGCATTTGCAGTTGCCTCAGTGGCCATGAGTAATTCTTTAAAATCTGGGTATCACACATTGTTTATGCAACTTTTCGATGATGCCAAAAGGGGGAAAAGAAATTGTGCTTTATATTCTGAATAGTGATGTTTATAACCTAATGAACCTGGTCCTTGATGATCAGTTAAAAATGTTTCTAACATTGCATTGATGTTCGGCTGAGTTCTAGCAGGGCCTAAGTGTACAAAAAGCACAGAGTTTGTCATCATCAAAAAGGGGGAATTTGTTGGCCCAAGTAAAGGTTAGTTTTGAATACTGACAAAGGAACTCAGACATGAACCAGGTCCATCCCAGTGGAGCACAGATACGGATAGACTTTAAGTATGTGAGATGCACGTGAATGAGATAAACCTAACTTGACAGAAGTGAATATCTCCTGATCCTGATTGAAAATGTTGCATATTGGATAAGGAGAAGGACTCCTTAATCAAAGAGAACACTGTTTAAGAAAGGGAAGGAGTTAGAGGTTGAGATCAACTAGAGCTCTTCCACCAAGGAAGAGTAGCATCAGAATTCTAGTCAATCTCTATTTACTAACTCTATAAATATCAGTGTTGTTCTCTTTTATAGGGGTTGCACAAACGCAGAAGTTAAACGTGAATTGAGAGCAAAATAGCAAGGCAATTTTGCAAGCAGTTCGTGTGTGATTCAAGTGTGCAAACCTGAAGCTACGTGAACCAGATAGAAGAACCAGTTCCAAGTGTCTGTCTTTTATTCTTGTTCAATTGTAGTAGGTGTTTTCATATTGTACCTTTCATCTTTATCTAGAGGCAATTGTAATAGGTACTCAAAGTATTCAAGTTAGAGTTAACTTGAAGTTGTTGCAACCGTTAGAGGCTGTGTGCTACAACGGGATTAGAGTTAGTCCTAGGCTTACAAAAGACTTTTTGTAAATGCAGTTTTTGGCTCAGTGATTTTAGTGGAGAGTTTGGAAAAATCCTACTAGAAAGTAGGTCGTGGTTTTTTACCTTTTGAGCCAGGTGTTTTTCACGTAAAATAGTTGTGTTCTTTATTTTTCACATTTACTATTTTTGCAATAGTAGGTTAAGGAACACTTAGAAGAACCAGGTCCTTCCATAATCAGTATAAACGAAAAATTGGTCACCACACAAATCAACCCCCCATGTGTGGTATTGAAGTATAAAACATCAGAAAGTATAGTGTAATATAATGATAGTTAACATAATGTTAGACTATATTTCATTTCAAAGGAATCATGAGTAGTAGGAGTAATTGAAGGAGCTGAATTAACTGAAATTACCTCATGACTCAATATGGACTTCTACTCAAAGTTGTCATTAAACCCAAGAGTTCCCCAAACACTTCAGGAGGGCATACAACCACAAATTAAGGTATTAAGCCCTCTTGAAGCGGTTAGGGGATCGATCTCTAGGGATCACCTTGACGTACAGAAAATCAAAATCAAATGAGCTTTTATCATTTTGCATCGCACGAGATTTCTATGCTATTGAACTCACCATCTTATAACACATTTATTATATTTTACGAGAAGGGATAATGATAAACCTAGACTACTAACAAACAATGATCAATATATCCGGCCCATTTTTCATCTATGACTACTATTATGATTTTTCATATTTATAATCTCATGTTCCAAGCTTTTAATCCTCCTAAGAAAGAAGATAAAGGTAAAAAAAAGTTTTATCCGAAATTCCTTGTTAAAGCATGAAGTATAATGAACCTGGTTGCAAATTTTGCCGATGTGAAAGTAAGAGAATATTTATAAAAGTAAGTGGCCATGTAATGCAACTTCCAGTATGACTTTTGCTTCTCCTATATATCATCTCTAGATTCCAGAACCTATCCTTTTCATCTCCTATTTTCCTTTCTTTTTCAGAGTCATGAATTCTTTTGTGTTTTGTAATACACATGTAGGGATTAAGCTTATAATATAATGATACTTAACACAATTCTGATGAAAGTCTCTACTCATGCGGGCCCAACAGTTGAGTACATCAAAAATAAGGATGAATTTGACTCCGATAATATGAGAAAGAAAATGGTCTCTGAGTCTAACTTAACCCAAAAAACTAACTTATATAGTAAGAGTTGCATAAAGATGATATAAGAAGACAAAGGCTCATACCCTCAACCAATATAAGATATTCTGACAGATCTACGTACTTATAATTATGATTTATCTTTTTAAAGGAAAATTTTCTACTCCATGTAGGTGAAGTATTTTTTTGTCTCCTACTTTATATGACAATTTTATTACAACTATTAAAGAGTCAAACAAGTTTTTCTTTGACTAAAATTTTTCTCAAACATTTTTTAAGTCAATTTTCTTATTTAAAGTATCATACCAAAACTCACGCCAAGATTCAGATATTTTAACTATTTTAATCCGAACTCTGCAATTTTTTTAGCGCGGAGGATCGGAGTAGATCTCTTATAATGAAATTATCTCGTACAATATCTTATACTATATGATTGGGAAGATTTTTAGATGCGTCAGTAGAAAATATATGTTGTGCCTTGTAAGAAAGTTCGAAGTTCTTTGTAGAAAAGTTATAACATCGTCAGCGCAATAAAAACAACATTATAATGTTAAAACTTAATATATGTAGCTTAAACATTTTTTTTTGTGAACTTTTGAAAATGATGGGAGAGATGAAAAAGGCGAGAAAGAATGGAGGACCATACTTTTATTGTTAGGACATGTACAGTATCTTATGCAAGCCTTCACTTGGATAACAATGGAGACCATATTCAATATTAAAACCTCAAGGAGTATATTCTGATCATTGTGACCGCATTGTACCAAGGATTTCTTATTGCACCCTAGAGTTCAGAAAGGCCATTTACCTTTTTGGTTGGGTACATATTCAAACTTAATGGATTCAAACTTACACTGAACTCATTATACTATTAATTATGGATTCATATCTAATATATGAGAAGATTTAAGTATGCTTTTACACATATAATTATCCTCTGCATTGAAAACTTTGAATTCAAATGAACCCATAACTAAAAGGCTACGTCGACATTGCACCCCACCAGAATCAATTCAAAGTTCGTCGAGGTGGAAGTTGCACGTACACAATCTAATTGATTGGCCATTCCTTTCCCGGAAAAAAAAAAATTATTAACGTAACACGATAGAAACACAAGTTCCACAATGTAACTTACTCTTTGTTTGCTAAACTTCAGCCAAACATCTTTACATTACAAAACATGTGCTAGAAAAACATTCTCCAACTTATGCGGCTATTATATATGATTGCTTTATGTAGCACCACCACTGTGTTTTGTAATGGCGTTCTGTTATTAATTAAGCATTAATACTACTCTTGTTTTTAACCAAAATAATCCTTAAAATACAACTTTCTAGACTTTTAGTTCTTTTACCATTTCTTTAGTAGTGGATGTGTTGCAGATTAATAATAAATATGTTCCTCTCTAATAACTTAAGTTTATTTATTAGATGAAGATAGTCGGATGTGTTAGGTGTTTGCCATAATATTTTTACCATATTTGATTTTTCTATTTGTTGAAGGAAAGGGCAACATGTTTACCTTAATTGGGTTTTCCTTCTTGTAGAAAGAAATTATAAATCTCCCGTATCTGGCTAGTCCCTTTTCTTGTAGGAAATGGTTTGGAGTTCTATAAATTGAAGATCTGTCCTTCTCATTCAATAGCATCCACAATGTAGCCATAGGGCGCTTGAGAGTCTTGTTTAGGGGAAACTTTACGGGACAAGTATTAGTGTGTCACTTG